CAAAGAATGCTACATATTTCCTTCTTTCAGAATCAGTGTTCTTGATGCTGCTGCTGTTTGCTAGATTCTCGATAAGTCTCATAGCTTCTTCTAATTCCTGGTGTTAAGTCTTCTATCGCTTGCGGTATTCAGAGCCATCTGATACTTCAAAGCGATTCCTCTAAAGAAAGTGCTGAGAAGCTGCACTTCATTGAATCCATGGTGTGGGCAATCGCGCTGGAAGAACTTGAATCTAATCCAAGAGTCTTTGAAGGACTTTCCAGGTTTCTGTGTGAAGGTAGCAATCCTGCTCTTTAGTTCTCCAGCTCGTGCCTCATCAAAGAAATTGCGCAGAAACGCAAATGTCAGCCCATGATGTAAGAGATCCTGGTGGTAGCTGCTTGAGCCAATGTGCAGCATCTCCAGCAAGTGAGAACTTGATGAGCTTGCACAGTAACTAGTCCTCAGGGACTCCCTTAACTCTAATAGCAGCGAGAAGATCCTCGAACCTCTCAAGATGTTCCATAGGATGCTCATGTGGCAATCCACAGTAGGGTATCTGAGCCACATGTGTGTAGTACTGCGGCTTCAACTCAAAGTTTTCCCTCTGCACGTCTAGAAGACGAATAACTGACATGTTGGCATATACTGGTCTGTACGGTTGTAGTCTACCAAGGTCTTGGGTCGAGTAGCCTCATCAGTATTAGGTTCAGGGATTACATTCCCCTGAGTATCTCGTTTCTGACTTGTTGCATTACGCAGATGACCTTCCTGGTCATAGAAGTCTCTATTCTCTGTCGCAGTTAATATCAGAGGCGCAACCATGTCTCGCGGCTGAGTATCGATCGATGTACGATGAGTGGTGTCGATCGATGTCAAGTCATCAGAATCGCTCGATGAAGAGTAGTCCGTGTTGATCGATGATGAAGCGAGGTCGGGGGGGGGGTCTGATGAGAATCGGACGACGAAGTGTCGATCGATGTGGAACGTAGGTCTTTATGGATCAAACGTTCCAAGCTTGCTAGGTCTTCTGAAAATAGCAGTTATTTTTCCTTGTTGCTTCTGGTTATGCTATGCATGCACCTGAAAAAATCAAAGAATATTTTTATTAGAAGATGGTAAAAGAAAAAGAAAAAGAAAAACCTAGAATTATTAGACTAAATCTAATGGCGATCAAAGCTCCCTGGCAACGGCGCCTAATTTGATACGTGCTCAAATTACCCTATGGAGCAACTTACTCTCTCAAATAAGAGATCTATTTCAATACTTAGGGGATCAAATCCACAAGGAGCTATGTAACCTATTAAATCTAATCAAACAATAAGACTAAATGAATATAAATAGTAAATAATAATAAGCAAGTAAACATTAAATAAGAAATATTCTAACTGAGCAAGACAATTACTCGACAAGAATGGATTGAGGGTTTTGAACTTAAATGGAAAGGTGTTAGACTTAGGGTTTTTATCCAGGTATTGGAGATTATAATCCTATAGGTGCTATCTACTTGTTTACATGATATTAAAGAGCATTAACTATCTTAACAACAGATTTACTAAACTTTCATTTAATAAATAATTTTATTGACTAGAATGTTGTTGACCAAGAGAAGAATGTTCGATCAATGACAGTGTCGATCGATTATTCTATAGGAATATCGATTGATTCACTTTACTCGACGTCGATCGATTTCCAATGGGAATATCAATCGATGCGGCTAGTTAAGCGTTACACGCGAGTTAACAAACACTCACTATGGGTCCCTAGATCAAACTTTCGCTCTATCTCTAGTAAAATCCTAGCCTAAGAGGATGTAGTCAAGACTATCAGAGTTTTTCAAGGATGTTTAAACAACCTAACAATCCTAGATTCAGGTTTCTAGTTATCAAGTGTAGAACATAAGCATTAAGAACATCCTATTAATGAATACCACAACAAGCGATCCTATAGTTGAGGCTAATCCCACTAACCTATTTAACCCCTAATTCTAACAAGTGAATTACTCAGACATGGCTAAGCAATTCATAATACAAGCAAAGTAATAAAACTGCATAATATTAGATAGATAGAAAACAATGGAGTTCCAATCACAAATCTCTCTGTTGATCTTCTCTCCCAAACTATAAATCCTAAAACCTTTTGATGTGAAAAGAATACAAAAAATCTCTCTCTGCCTCTAACACTTTGGTAGGGTATACAAACTTAGGTTAAAACTTGTCAAGGGTAAAATCATCATTTGATGATGTTTGAACTTCAAGTCGGCTGTCTCGCGAATTGATTTTCCACGCCTTCGGCGTCGATCCATCATGCTAGGTGCATGTCGATTGACGTGGTCACTCCATGTCGATTGACGTGGTCACTCCATGTCGACCTCGATCGTGTTGGTCAATTCCAAATCGAGTGATTTCTCGAATTCTCTCTAAAATGCTCCAAAACATCACTTTCTTCCAAAATACTCCTGAACCTATAAATATGCTGAAATGCTTCTATAATATAATAAATAGTAGTAAAAACACCAATATACCATGACCAAAATCGGGTCAAAATCATGGTATATCACACCACCCAAGTGATCATATGGCTGTAGTTGTTAAAGTTTCTATGTTTCCAAACCCAGTGGTGAGAAGCAATTGTTTGAATCATACAAACGGGCCAGATGATGTTCCAATTATTGAAGGAGGTCCAGCCAGCACCGACCCAAAGCCTGCAAATAGTGATTCAGTCATGACCTCCACCAAGACTCCCATTGATGATTAAATGGGCCCGAGTCCAAAGTAAGCTCGCAAATACTGATCACGGCAACTATGGAGACTCGAAATTTGCAAAGTTCAATTCCGTTGTTTATTTCAAAATTTTATGTTTTCCTTCATTAACGATGTAATCCACATACTTTTACTTACCGGCAAAGTGTTTTTGTTTACTTTATCTTTATTTGGTACACTAATGTTGAAATAGTTGAGTTAGGTATAAGCATTATTTAAATAGTTGAATTATTTAATTCAACTATTAAAAAAAAAAAGAAATGGCCCTCTGTATATTGATGTAATCAACTGCACTAAACCTAACAAAATAATCCCTTCATAAATCATCCATATCTTAAGAATGCTGAATACCAAGACGAACAGTCTGACACGGGCTAGGAAGAAATCGTCTTTCTCTGTTCATAAGAATGTAGATCTACCGTTCTAGTTTGCAGAGTTGTCATAAAGTCTGTTTTTGTTGATGACAAAAAAAAAACAAAATAATCCTCTAATTTTGATGATTTAAATCTATGTTAATAAGATAGTTCATCTTTGGTCTGGTAGTGTTATTTTGAACGTGTGACATTTTTTTACTTACAACTTGGATAAAGATTACGAATTTATCTCTGTCAAAGCTACTATCTAATTAAGAATCATATATCTATGTAAAGCCAAAATCCATACTTGCATGCTTGATTTTAAGTGTTGGTTATGTATAAAAAGAATATAAAGAAAAAAACTTGACAAAATCTATATTCAGTTAGATTTAAGAGGCTACCATTTAACATAAATATATATATATATATATATATATATATATGTATATATATATATATATATAAAACTACGATTACATGTTACCGCAACAATATCAAAAATCAATGTTAAATGTATTTACTACAACAAACTAAACAATTTGTGTTCATACTTCAAGAAATAGAATTTACTTTTTACTTTAAGAACTAAATTAGAACGTTTTCAAATTAAAACCAATCAATTTAACAACAATACGACACTAAAACTTTTAGACTCCTGGCGGAATTTCAAGTCTATTGTTGTAAATCTTTAAAATCTCTTCTTTTGAAATAATCCAACAATGATAAAATTTAATACATACAAGTGAAATATAACAATTCAAAAATCAACATAATTTTAATGATTACCGAGAATAAATATAAAAATAAAAATGAGAATATACAATTGTAAAACACAAATTAGTTAAACTGAAGGACCATAATACTTTAGCCACCTTACTATCTCATCCCCAATAATCATGTATTATAAAATATTTTACAACATATTTTTTTATACCTATAAATTAACCTAATCTAACCCACAAAAGTAAACACTTTACACAAATCAAAGATAACAAAAAAAAATCAGAGATTGCACTTTGAAATTGTCATGCATATATTTAAACTTAAATGTCTTTTATAATAAATATGAAAAGATTACTATCAAATTAATATATCTCCATATAATCGATACATATATTGCTTTCTAAAGTACTTTTGAACAATGTTCTTAATCATAAAATCACAGCTAACCAATATCAATATTAGCAAAACCGACTCGTAGCGCCGGCTAACCTCTAGTACTTACTAAAATGGAAGGAGTATATAAACAGAAATGTAGTTTTCAATGTTGGAATATAATCAAAATTTATATATATTTTTTTTTGAAACAAAATATTCTTTTTAAAAGCTTAATCTTTCCACCACCTTTGATGCATAAACCAAAATTTACTTGGTTCAATATTGTGTTTCTTTACCGTATGTAGAAGTCCACTTAGTCGATTGGGTTCATTCTTGGACTCAAATGTTAAAACAGTACGGAGAACTTGCGTTTGTAAAAGCATTGCGTCATGAAAATAACACAAGTTTAAAGTGATTTCCTTCAAAATGATTCGTTCACAAAGCCACCCCACAGGCCACATTTTCTCAAGGTCTCAAAAGATCAGTAGTAGAAACTTTAGCTTTCATTTACAACCAAAAACATTTAACCTAAAAACTAAACAGAAAGTGACAAAGCTGTAGTCAATGAACTATCAAAGAACCGGTCCTCCAATACATCTTCACTGAACCGGACCAGAAAATCTATTCGCCTCTGGTACCTGCAAGAAAGGAAGCAAAACAGGCTGAGTGATGATGGTGAGCTGATGATGATGAAGAGGTTGATTTAGGTGGTGGAGTCAAATTTACATCGGTCAAGGGCTTCTTTGGCCACCTGCAAAACTAGTTCGTTTTCTTCCAACACGTTTTTGGCCATATCTACAGCTTCCTATGCCTCTTTCGCTTCTAAATCTTTCTGATCAGACATTGCGACTGATTTTTCTGCTGCCTCATTTAACTCATGTAGTTTCTCAGGAGTAACATCGAGAATCTCGTATTCGGTTCCTACCTACATTAATTTAACCTAACAAATTCATGTGCGCACGTATATCAAGTCAGAATGATCAAGTTTTTTGACACATATGCACTATAGAAGATTGCTTGTTTAAATAAACAAAATCAAGGATACCTTCTCTAGTATGTATTGAGAAACACGTCTAGTGAGCCCGTGTTCCAACTGCTTCCTATAATTTCGCGGTAAACACACACTTTTCCTGCAATATGTCTACCATAAGATTAACTCGATCGATCAAAAATAACTATCTTTGAGTCAAAACAAGAACAATGGAGGAGTAAGCAAGCAAACCAAGATGGAATATTTTTTACTCACTCTTATCAACTCAGATTAAAACCAAGCATGGAAAAAGACTAGCTAACCTCGTCAAACTAGTAAAATCCATCAATATCAACACAACTTCCATCTTGATTGTTGATATAGCTTCCATAACGGTGTCATGAGGTCTATTCCTGATAGAGAAAAAGAAATAAAAGAGTGGAAATATATTATGTCAAATACAATACATACATCACATTTAACATATATAATATTGTAAGGTTCCAAATGTCACAAATCCAGAGGAAGTAGCGGCATTTGAAGAAAAAGTATTTGCAGGATATTTCTGATCAGCCACTGCAACAGCTTTTGACTGGGCCTCATCAATGTTTTCCAAAGTAATATCGAGGATCTTGTAGCCGTATTCCCCCTGCCATTTTGCAATTTTCTTTAAATTTCATCAAACAAATATATATATATATATATATATATATATATATATATATATATATATATATATATATATATATATATGTATGTATCTATCGTAATGAACAAGTTCTAATTTATATATAGGTTTAGTTAAAGAACAAACTAAGGTTACCTTCTCTAGTTCATTTTTAGAAGCACGTCTCTTCAGCTTTGTCTTCCAATATCTTCTTGTAATATGGCGGTATTTTATACCTATTCTGCATTTTATCAAACACAAGCAAAACAAGTGGCGATATTATCGTATCACTCTCAAATCAAAACCATGGAAGCAGATAACTAGAGAGTGAGATGATCCTTTAACCTCGATATATTCGTAAATCTCATCAATGTCGACATTGATTCCATAATCTGTTGTTGATATAGCCTCAATAACCATGACCTTGGGCATATCTCTAAGAATATGCAAAAAATGAGTAAAGAGGCGAATAACCGGTCAAAATACAAAGAGTGTTGTAAACTAAGATGAGAATGAGAGAAAGTAATGGGGAATTCTCTGTATTTTATTACTGAATGAATAGGTTCCTTTATATAAGGACTTACAAGAAGAGATAAATGGAAAGTATACAAAAACCTAGACAAGATAAATGTTAAGTCTTGGCCGCCTATATGCCCAATGGGTCACGACCATACTTGTCTTGATTGGGCCTCCATCTTCTTGGTCTTGGTCTATGGTTATGGCCCATCCACTTAATGTGTCCATAACACTCCCCCTTGGATGGCCTAACCATATGGGCCTGTACCATGCTTAATGTTGCCTCGTTAAAACCTTCTCTAGGAAAACCAAAAACCCGAGGTGGGAAAAATGGAAACCTCAAACAAGGAAAAAGAGTACAACACATGATACTCCCCCTGATGAATGCATCACTGAAATGTCTGATGCATTCCAATTTGGTCGGTAGAAAACTGGTTTGCTCGGTTGCTGCTGAACCGAACTCGAACTTCTGATATCTTCTGGAAAAACTCATGTGTGAGTACTGCTTTGGGCTGGACGTCTTCAATGTCTTCTGGAACTCCATTAGGACTTGGTTCAGTCGTGCATCATCACAACTAACCACTCTAATGTCCTGGTCGGACAGATCTCCTGGTCGGACGGATGTCCTGGTCGGATGGTACTTGGACCAGTACCCGGATGGACCTTTGATCAACGATCAAGTATTACTCATAAGTCCTCTTATGTCCCACGGTTCTTGTAGTCATATGGCCTCTGCCATACCGTGGACACCTTAATATATTGAGTCATCTTGCAATGCTCAAGAATCTCATGTCTTAAACATGTAGATACATGGACGAGATGCAAACCTTTACACTATACTTTGTCGGATAGGTTTCATCATATTTTGAACCTTATGGCACGGTGCCATGAACCTTTATACACGTCCATAATGTGTCCCATAAGTGTCTAAGATCATGACTTGATCAGTGATCATTCTTGCAATAAGTTTCACACTCTTATCAAACTATGGTTCTACAACCAAATACACTTATGGACCTTGTTCATGGCTGCCAATCTATCTTGTCTTAATGTCACACATTAGACCACGTCCAATGCCTTTCCAAACATGTCTATTCCAGTCTTATGGCGTCCCATGACCTTTCTTATCTTGGCTTAACCAAGTACTGGAAACTTCGTTCGGTCATGGACCTTGTCCAACACACGCACACAACTTGCCAAGTATGCCTAAGATGTTGTTGTTGGCGTGTTGCTATCATGACTTATGTATCACTGTTGGTTCCTTAGGACTTCTCTAACCATCAGTATACCTTTGCCGTAGACCATCTAGATGTATTAGGTCATAGACCTCGACCAAACACAAACCGGTTGGTACTTCCTTCTACGGTCATGTATATATGCGCAGTCCCACTTGCTTTGTTTTGTATGGACATTAATCATATGTTCCTATGGACTGCTACATGATAGCTGATCGTACTCAGATCAAGGGAACACAAGGATTTATCACGTGACCATCTCATATGTCACTTGGGGCGTGCTGGTCTATACACATACACCCAAGGCTATGGTTTCTGCTGCAAGTCATTGTATTCATAGCCAGTCTAAAAACCATTGAACCACTCTATGGGTTGGTTTAATATAAACACAAGGAATCCATACATCTTTCACATGATCACATGGACTGATATAAATTCGTTCTCATAGAATTCTCTACAAAGCATTCACTTTGTTTATCAATCTGCAGCTGCCTTATTTCAGTCCATAAACAACTTAGGAACAAAGTTGTTCTTGAGAACTTCTTTCTCATCTTTCTTATATCTCTTGGTACCTTTAGCATTGTATATCCAGTGAACCATATGCTACTCATTACATACTTATATGTCAATCTATTGACCAGACTTTGTCAAATTCGGATTTACATAGTAGCCTTCACCACATTGGAGCATATCTCCTTATAAACTGTTCCTTAGTCCCTGTGAGTATCCTTGCGTCATCAAGCCACGCTTGAGTGTTATAAGAAGGCACATGAACACTTCTAGACCACGTGGTCATGTCCTTTTGTCTCACGGTTTTCTCACAAGACCTTATTCATCACTGGTTTATCTGATGGCGTTCTATATGGCCAATACGCCCATCACTCTTTATATACTCTAACCCCACGGTTCTTTATCAACCTTTTTATGAATGAGTACTCTTACGTGGGTTCATGATCCTCGTTTTATATCTCATATTCAAGTGCTACTTATCATGCGCATGTAAATATATCATTGGTGTTAAAACACTCATGTAGTTCCATATGTTCCATTGTGCTCCAGACATGATCTAATCGATTTGAGATCTTATTATCCAGGACCTTCACTACCTTGTAACTTGGCGTCCCAAGCTACATGGTCTGGTACCTTAGATATTCAGTCGGCCGGCCTGTTCTCAATTTCTGGTCTGGTTTACCTTATGACCTCGGATATGTATTCCTATGCACCTTTCATTTCTTTCCGAGGTTCCTTTTCTTTATGGAACATATTGGTCTATCATCAATAGACTCTCTAGCAACTTGATAGTGTCTCTCTAAGACATAAATTTCGTGGTGCTAAGCTGGTATGACTTTACACATTCTTTTCATCTCTTTTCGGGTCAATGTGTCTGGCATCTGATTAGCTATCTTTGCATAATCTTTCTTTCTTTCTTTGGACGTCTTAAATCATATACTCTAGTCTGAGGATCTTGCCAAGACACTGATGGTCAATACCATTGTCATACGTTTCTTTATCCAACTTATATCTTTCTCCTTTTGATGTTGGATAGTCGGATTCATTGCCTTATGCAATCCGTGTATTTAGCCACAATCTGATCACCTATATTTGGCTCAAGGTTTCTTAAGAACGTGTAGGAGAAATTCATACTCCTATCCAACATATATTCCCAATCCTTATCTCAGGTTCCATCATAGAAGCACATATGTTATGTGGTGGTTTTATCAAATCTCTTAAGATTGTATATGTCTGGTCATGACCCGTATTACTCTGAGATGGGAATATCTATGCTCACTTATATGGCCTGATGCATTTTCAACTTATACATGTAACTCATTGTGTCTCCAAGCATAAGGTAGTAGCCTTTGTAATACAAACAATTCGACCATCCAAGTTTACTACTATGGTCATCGACCTTGCCACACGGATTGTAGTATGTTCATGGATCAAGGTTTTGTCCTCACTCCCCCTCATGGACATACTATGATCACGTGATGCTTGAGACATTGTAGCCTAACTGAGTTTCCCTTGTGTACATGTAACACAAACGTGAGATACTATGGGACAACTCTTATGTGCTCTTTTCGATATCAAATTTTGCATCAAATTTCCAAAATCTGGATGGCTAGTCCAATAATGCCATAAAGTGTAATTTCGTGGGTAAGCCTCTCTGGTTACCACATCTCTTGCCTCTTATTATACTGATCTCTAGTATAGTCTAGATCAGTAGCTATTGCAGGTATAGTCCTTAAGACTCTCTTAATGCCATTGGTGATCGAAAATATGTTAAGGAAATCTTTCATTCCTTCTTCCCATGTTTCAAGGTGTAAACCATCAAACCTTATGTCCTTGAAACTCAATAGGCTCCTTTAGAGCTAGGGGAATACAAGGCATATTTAATCTCAAGGTATCATAACAAAAATATGGTCGTGGCCCTTAATAAGGCTAGCCACGCCTGCAATAGTTGGCACAACGTTTGTCTTTTCCACTATACACCACAAGTGTACAATGGTACTCATCTCATCTTTCATCATACTATATACCAAAATCCCTATCAAACATTCATTTAAACATTCAAGCAAACATTCAAGCAAACAAGAATCAAATTTTAAATAAACCTAAATGTCATGTGTCTTGATTCGTCCTTAAGACAATCAGAAGTCTCATAATCCATATAATTTTTCTTCCATGCTCATCATAATTATCAGCCTTATATTCGGAATCATAAATCATGTGGGGCTGCCACAAGCCAGGACTCCCACATCGGCCATGTACTCGACCACAGCCAAAACCGGGTGAGTTCATGCGGCCTTGTCATCATTTGTGCTATGATCTCGTCCCTGAACCTTACCACGGTCATAACCTGGTTGGTATGGACGAGACTACCATGTTTGGTCCTCTAATGGTCGAGTAAGACGGCTTGTTCATGCCGCCTCGGCCAGGGCCAGTGCCTTGGCCTCTCCCACGGCCGTAGCTGGAACCTCGACCACGGTTATTGTGGTTTCCAGACCTACGGTCGTATGGGTAGTTTGTCACGACCAATAAGACCCTTGTATCCACCACGACCCTTGCCGTGTGGTCTCATATCATTGTGGGCGAAATTATTTTCTTTGGGAACATCATGTTCAACCTTATTTGATTCCGGTACTTGCTGCTGATCCTGCAGGTCTCAACGCATTGTTCCTTGAGGTTTTAACTCACTGTTTTCATTAGTAAATCTTTATTAGCCTCAGCCAATAATAAACAGGAGATTAAATCAGTATAAGTGGTGAAAACTCTTTCCCTAGTTATTTGGTCGGCTGATTGGTCGAGTAAGACAGCTTAGAGATGCTGCCTCGACCACGGCTGTAGCCGCGTCTCGCCTACGGCCATGACTGGGACCACGACCACGNAAATCTTTATTAGCCTCAGCCAATAATAAACAGGAGATTAAATCAGTATAAGTGGTGAAAACTCTTTCCCTAGTTATTTGGTCGGCTGATTGGTCGAGTAAGACAGCTTAGAGATGCTGCCTCGACCACGGCTGTAGCCGCGTCTCGCCTACGGCCATGACTGGGACCACGACCACGGTTATTGTGGTTCCCTTGTCCATGGTCGTACGAGCTATAATTGCCAGGAACACCACGTCCTTTCCATCCACAGACCTCTAGTCTTGTAGCCTTTGGTAGTAACACCGTTTTATGGTGA